ATAGGAAACCCTGAAGATCTTATGAAGAGACTTGATGAGCAGCAAGCCATGCTCAAAGCACAGCAGGAGACCATCAATGAACTCCGGACCTTAATGACTCAAATTGTCGCAGACAGGGCCAAGTTCCCAAAAACAAATTCGCCGCCGCAGCTCAAATCTTCCCGAAGAGGAGGATCATCTTCATCCCGACCTGTTACATCAAAGCTGAAGGAAAAGGTGAATAGGAGTGAGACTTTCGATCAAGAAGCTCACAACATAGAATCTTTATCTGAAGAAGGAAGAGATGCCAAGAATGAGCAGAGTTCTCAGTCGGCTAAAATGCAAGAACTAGAAGCCCGTCTCAATGCTATTGCCAATAGACACGAGCTCCAAGATGAGGGAGTTGTCAGGCCATATCCTACCGAATAGGATACAACCCCTTATCCTCCAAAGTTCAAAGTCCCGACTCTGTAAGTTTTTGACGGTACGGGGTCACCTAACCAAAATATTTACTATTTCAAGTTACAGATTGGGAATGTGGTAGCAAATGATGTCGTGTTGACTTGGTTGTTCATTGGCACCCTCAAGAGGGTTGTCTTTGAATGGTTCATGAAATTACCTGCCGGATGTATCCAGAAGTGGGCGGATCTAGAGAGACTCTTTCTGTCAAGATTCTTTAAGACGATACAGAAATGTTTGTCACTACCCTTCTTACCACTAAGCAGAAGGAGAGAGAACTCATCAAAGCCTTCATCGAAAGGTTCCGAAGCGTGGCTCTTCGATGTCCGACAGGTATGACACAGTCTACACTGGTGAAAATCTGTCGATACAATTTACAGATCAACCTCCTAGCCCAAATGGGGGTTGCGGAATGCTGTTCTTGGAAACAGCTTGTCTCCTAAAGGGAAAAGGCTGAAGAAATTATTTCCAGGTTCAAAGCTGAAACCGAGGTAGAGAACAGTGACCACCAACATAGTGTCAGTCCAACTCGAGAATTCTCCACCAGTTCAAGCTCTATTTGGTGTGATCCTGATTCCTAAAAGGGAGCTACACCTGATAAACATTGACCTATATGCTCAGAGAGATAAAGGGTTGGTACCCCTTGCTACTTTAAAAGGAAAGACAATATGGGTCCATCCCGATCTACTTGACGACCAGCAATGGACAAGTGTGTTAGAGAAAACTAATCTTGGTATTCGCATGGATGCTCATGACGAGACCGTCTTCATTGAACTGTCGTCTTGCAAAATGGATCATACTGTTATCGCAGTATGAGATGTGATTTATACCTCGAAAGGCTGTTAAATGACAAGCCTTAGAAGATTTCTTAGCTGACTATTCAGCACCAGATTCTCCTAAGACGGAGTGGGGGTTGGTTACTTGAAATCCATTAGATTAAGAGTAACGAATCTTTTAAGTTGTCATGTTCAACATAATACCTCTGTCAACTGTAAAAACCTTTCCCAGCGAAGTTAATCCCAAATGGGAAAGGTCATTCATAGTAGAGTCAGTATACTCGAGTGGAGATTATCGTTTTATTAATCAAAAAGATGATAAGCCTATGATGCCAATTAACGGGAAATTTCTCAAGAAATATTACATATAAAAATCATGAAGCTCCCTTCTTCTCATGTTAAGTCTTAGTCAAGTCTGGGGGTTGATTATTTGTTAATTCTCAAACATAATAACGAATTCACAAAAAATATCAAGTTAACATTACACTTCCGATAGTCTATTTCCTTTAAATTCTCCCACCAATCCTCTTTTATAGGATGACGGGTCTACAAAACTATCAAATTAACAAAACACTTCTGATAGTCAATTCCTCCAAAATTCTCATATCAATCATCTTCAATAGGATGATAAGTCCACAAAGTTGCTCAAATCGCAATAAATTCATGTCAAGTTAATATCACACCTCTGACACAATTAACTTATCAATCCTCTTCAATAGGATGATAAGTCCACAAAGTTACTCAAATCGTAACATATTTCGTCAATTTAATATCACATCTCTGATAAAACCAACTTATCGACTCTCTTCAATAGAGCGATAGGTCCTCAAAATCTTATTCAAATCACAAGTACATAATTTCGTCAAGTTAATACCACACCTCTACCAAAATTAACTTATCGAATCTCTTCAATAGAGCGATAGGTCCTCAAAATCTTATTCAAATCATAAGTATACAATCTCATCAAGTTAATATTACACCTATGATGACAAAATTAATTTATTAATCCTCTTTAATAGGATGATAAATCTCAAATTACTGTTATGTTAACATCACACGTCTAGCAGTTAAACCCCCATGAACTTGGTCTTTTCAACAGAATAACAAGTGCTCATTGTCAAAACGCGAGGGTCATCACCACGTTCCAAATTCAAAACACGAGGGTCAGCCCCGTGTTTCAAGATTAAAACGCGAGGGTCAGACCCGTGTTCCAATCTCAAAACGTGAGTCATACTCGCGTATTAAAATCAAAACGCGAGGGTCAGCTCCGCGTTCCCATTACCAAATGCAGAGGTCATCCAAACGTCTCAAAATCAAAACGCAAGGAATCGCGTTCTAATTTCAAAACGCGAAGGCCAATCCCGCATTTCAAAATCAAAATGCAGAAGTCCACCTCCGCGTTTCAGAAGCCAAATACGAGGCTTACCTCCGTGTTTCAAAAGAAGAAGCATGGTGCTCACCCTTGCACGGGTCTTGTGTGACAAATCCCTTCAACCAATATGCCTTCGAAGCGAATGTAGGGAACAACTCCTTTACGACAAAGAATCAACAGCTCCAAGATCAAAATTGAGATCCAAAGTATTTCGAAAATTCATTCTAGTCAACCGCGAACTTTCGAAAACTTTGGTATAGGATGTCTAAAAATCACTGCAGATAACTAATCCTCATCAGTATGAAGATGGAGAAGAAAGATGATGAGCTCCAGAATCTTCATTTCTTCAAGAATCAAATATAAGGATTACAATATGACGATCCTTACAGAACTTGAGAAAAGAGGTTACAATTAACGATCTCTTCAAGCCCAAGCGCGATCCTCGAGTTTCAACAACAAAACACGGAGGTCATTCCCGCGTTTCAACAACAAAACACAAAGGTCATTCCCACATTTTTAAAATCAAAACGCAGAGGTCATTCCCACGTTTCAACAACAAAACGCGAAGGTCATTCCCGTGTTTCAACAACAAAACACAGAGGTCACATCCCTGCGTTTCAACAGCCAAACGCCAGGCTCACCCTCACATTTTGAAGCTAGAACGCAGACATCATGTTTGACCATTTCAAATCACTTGAACGGTTTTCCATTTAATTAGGCAATTAAGCCCCCATTATGGAGATATGTATGGGGGCGGTTACACCCCATAAACCTTCATTAAGGAGTGATTTAAGGGGTTACACCCAGTTAATGGGGCCATTAAGCCCCATTAAGGAGCAATTTAAGGGGGTCGGTTACACGCATTTAATGGGACCATTAAGCCCCCATTAAGGAGTAATTTAAGGGATTAGTTACACCCCTTAAACCCCTATAAATAGCTGGTTACGCAGCTGGAAAGAGGGTGGGCAATCTTGAGGAACCCTTGGAGTATTTTGTGAAGGCTTTTTGTTGAAGCTTTGGAGCTTTTCGGCCTTGGCTTTTGAACCGAGTTTCGGTTGAAGAACTGAAGATCAGTTATTCTCTGATTTCGATTAAAAGGATCATTTTCCTTTCTGAAATTAACTCTTTTATAGAGTTCTACTCTTTTATAGAGTTCTGAAACTCGTTCAAAGTTCTTAACTCTTCTAGAGTTTTAAACTTGACTCGCAAGTTCTTCCCAACGTCACATCAAGAGGAATAGGCTAACATTCCACGAAGTGAAGTGTTCGAATCGTCAACGGGATACAAGATTCAAACTCCCATCGCTACCAAAAAGAACCCAGATTTAAATAAAGGGAAGGATCTTTGTCGATTCCCTCTCTCTTTTGTAAATCAGGAAACCGATAAGAGAAATTATAATTTCTTTTTCTAAGTCAGTTAGAGAGAAATTACTGTGAGAGATTGTATTCATTCTTTCCTAAGTCAGTTAGGGAGATTAATACAAATTTTGTTCTCAATTTTCTCACAATTTTTCCGACAAACAAAGGATCCAACAAATGATCCTTTCTAAGATACAACAACAAATTATCCTTTACATGATTTAACAACAAATGATCCAAAAAGGACATATTGATTAAATAATCAACTAGTCATCAATAAGTAATTAGTCCAAACCATCCCGTAAAGAACGACTTATCATATATCTCAAAGAGATTTTTAACGACTGATCGTAGCATGGAGCTAAATAATTAGCTGAATATATATATAAATATCTAATTGATAAGCTAAATAATTAGCTGAAGATCTAATTAATAAGCTAAATAATTAGCTTAATAAAAAAAATTTAACCACGGATGAACAGTGTCAGGTAGGGTTTATGAGGGGTGGAATGTGACGGCTAGGGTTTATGAAAAGGAACTCATGCCAAAAGACGAAGAAAAACAAATCTACGATCTCAAACTTTATTTATTTTTAACCCTTAAAACAGAAAAAGAAAAGAAAATTACAACAACGTTAAGTTTGCATGTCAATCATAACATCTAACCAAATCTTCAGCCACGTGCAGTTGTGGCATTGGTCAAGAATTAAATGTGAGCCCCAGTTGCAAAGTTCCTCTATGGGTGGCACTACAGGCACACCACCAACCACAACTTGGGGCACACCCCTCTCTCAGCTACAGTGCATGAGGTCCACATGAAATTTTTAAAAAAGTTTCATGTGGGCCCCATACACTGTAGTTGAGAGAGGGGAGTGTGCCCCAAGGTGTGGTTGGTGGTGTGCCTATACCATTTTCCTTCCTCTATACAGCTTGGCCTGTAGAGGATCCTGGCTTTAAGGTTTGTTGTCATACTTTGCGTTTACAGTCAGCAGGCGAATTAAATGAGTTTTCAAAATAAATTCGAATTTCAAAACCAGGCAGAATGCACCTTAAATCATACGAATACCTATAAACACAAATTCATAGATTTCTTTGTAAGAAAACATTCAAGCCAAAATGTCGTAATCCGGTGTCTATGGAACTAACAGTACAAATTGACCCATTAAAAGGAAAAAAAGGGCATTTCTTTTGGTTACGCAATATGAAGAGGAAGGAGAACACCCTTTTTTTTTTTTTTTTTGCAGTGGTTACAGGAATGTCTATGGAACCAAACAAGAAGAAAAAATTTCTGCAGGTCCAAGAATTTCATCCACATATGTAAAAGTTTTACAAATGCATGTAACTCCAGGGAGTTGCAATTCTTCGCCAATCTATGCTGCGACCCTGCGTACATGGTTAGCGCTGGTTTTACCTGTAGAAATAAATACAAAAACAACAAAAATAAAATAAATAAATAAGCTCCTCCTCCTACATTTTGGAACCTCATCAAAGTATATTAGTGCAAAAAGTGAATTAGACAGCTAAAGAAAAAACTAGATTGAACAATAAGAGAAGAATTAATAGATGGATGGAATCACTTTGACCGACTCTTTAGGAGTCGATGAATAGACCACCAAGAGAGAAGGAATTATATCACAGTATTCTCCAATTTTCCATATTTGTTGAAGATTATTTGTGATTCATGAGTGTCTTTCATAATCTTGGTTCTTATTGGAAATGAAAATTTTAGCCTTACACCACCCCCATCAACAGGAGGAGGAAAAAAAAAGAAAACTTGATTCATCATCTTCATTCGGACTCTTATGATTAGTGAAATTTGACATGAATTGTTGTTATGGCACTACAACAAAAGTTGTAAATTATAATACATTTTTTGTCTCTACGCAACACATTTTTGTGTCGCACAAATAAAATGCGACACATACCAAAAGTGTGGTTGGAGATCGTCTTTCCACACATTTTGAGAAGGACAAATTTTTAAATTCGACTTGTTTAGAAACTTAATTGTCAAAAACGACCCAATTTAAAATTATTTACCAAATTCGACTCTGTTTCAGCCAACTGGCTGAAACTGGGTCGAATTTAGCGAAAAAATTTACGAAACTTCACGGGACTTCAAGTCCCGTGAAGTTTAAGATCCCGCTAATACATACGATTATGGGTATATAAGTTCACAGGACTTGAAGTCCTGTGAAGTTTCAGGCAATTCCAGGAAGCTTGGCAGAAAGAACTCCCTCGCCCCTCCATCGCCCTCACGAACTTCTGTTGTCGATCGATCAGCAGGTCCCCGCTGAACCCCCTCGACAGCCTCTCCCCCTCCACTGAAACCCTCATCAGATTACAGTATTCATGGTCCCTATCGGCCCCCACCAGCAAAGCTAGCTCCCACATCAGGTCGTTCACAGCCAAAGGCAAGATCTTGTTCTCCCTGGATCTCGCCTCCGACTTGGCCCTCGCCTTCCCGCCGAAATAGAGCTGGTTCAAGATAAGCCCATTGATCTTCAACGGGGCTAGGTTTAGGCCCATCAAGGGGAGGCCGAGGTGGAAGGCGATGTTGTCGCCGGCGCTGGAGCCCATGGAGACGTGCGAGAAGTCAGCGTGGGATCCGAGCCAGGGGTCGGTAGGGCTGAGAGCCTGGTCACGGAGGAAGAGGAGGGCATCGATGTCGTCGTCGTAGGCGGCAGGGCGGGCGGCGGAGGAGAGGTGGACGAGGCCGGAGACGGGCGAGAAGAGGACGAAGATGCCGCCATGGAAGTAGAGGACAACGGGGAGCTTAGGGCAAGAAGAGGTGGAATATATACCTGAAACTTCATGGGACTTGAAGTCCCGTGAAGTTAGCTGAATTGAAAATTTTCACGGGACTTCAAGTCCCGTGAACTTATATACCCCTAGCCAAAGCTGTTAGCGGGGACCTTAAACTTCACGGGACTTGCCATGAAGTTTTGTAATTTTTTCTCCAAAATCGACCAAGTTTCTGGGTCGATTTTGGTAATTAATTTGGAAAAATAGGTAGGTTTTTGCAATTAAGTTTCTAAATAGGTTGGTTTTGAAAATTTATCCTTTTGAGGATGTATTACAAAACTCACGATACGTATATATGTCGAGCGTGGTGATACATACAAGTATCACAAAACTCGTAACACGTGAAAGTAGTGATACATAGTTGTGTCTAGACCATCAAAACTATAGAGAGTGTCATCATTTAACACTATAATTTCCCAGAAGGTCACCCATCTGAGAATTACTCTCACCAAAGCTCACTTAACTATGGAGTTTTTTAGCTTACATACTATCATAAATGTTTAATCATCATAAATGTTTAACCATCATGATTTGCTACACTTTTTATTTGTGTTACTAATGTTTAATCTTTTACAAATAAAATAACACTTTTATATGTGTCATAAAATAAGTGTAGACACATACATCTTTTATTGTAGTATGGTTATCCTGAGATGTATGTGTTAATTAGTATAATAAAAGGAAGAAAGGGAAGAGGAAGAATGGAGAATAAATAAGGGCTTCTACACATATACTGTGTAGGGTTCAGATAAGCTAAATCAAAAATGAAAAAAAAAAAAACTTTCGATCGTGAAATTTTGCTAACCAGACTCTACAGTGAAATTAAACACGGGTAGAGTCCCTAAACGTGAAGGTCAAATAGTTAAAGCATTCTCATCATTCAAAACTGGACGTTCCTGATGTTTCATCTTTGCATTACAGTTATAAAATTATCAAGAACAAGGTTAGCCTGCTGGATCAACTAAATACTAAATAGCTTCTTATCCTGAACCGTTATCTTCTCAAAATTATCCTACTTAAACTTGTGATAATGAAGTACAGTAATGAACTGAATCACAATCACGAACATGGACTTAATTTACCTCAACATGTTAATCGTCAAGAGAAAAGATGTCATTGGACACTAGCAGACACATACAACTTAACTATTGTGCCAATTAAAAACTAAACTCTTCACTTATAGCTTTACAATGTGAGGTATACTAAAGTCATGTGGATGCAACTGTATAAATCGCATCTGGCATTCATGTACTTCCCAAATAATAGTCTAGAAAGTGATAGGCGAGTAGAAAGAGAAAACAGAAGAAATTGCCAGTGTTTGAAAAGGCAGGTTCATAAGATATGAGAATGAATCTAGTCTAGAAAACTGAATACCTCTTTTCTTAAGCTTGTTCCTAAAGCTCCGTTTCCTGCTAAATGCATTCTCCTGTTCACAGTCAAAAATTCCAACTCATCAATGGATTTATTCTAAGTTAAAAGATGAAATGGAATCTGAATTTGACATCAATAGAAAAAGATCACATTAGGAATAAGAGAACAGTCTAGTGGTACGTTGACAAAGATATAGCAGTAGCTTTCTTGTTTCATTTTCACGGTTGTTTGCTGTGTTTAGAAATTAAATAAAAACAATTACCACTGGGAGCCCCATATTCCCTGCTTGACGAACGGCAGATACAAGATCCTGGTTTGATTTATTATATAAACTTGTGACAATTCCAGACTGACCAGCTCTCGCTGTACGGCCTATCCTGTGTAGAAAGTCCACAGCAGAAGTTGCGAACTCCGCCTGATTTTCCCAGTGGGAAATAAGTCATTAGGCAATCAGAGAAGGACAGTGTAACTTACATAATTAATTTGATTGAAAGAATACAAGGGCAGAATCCAATTAACTTTTACAGTGAGAAACTAATTTGATTGATAAGCATATAAGATAGACTTCCTCAGCCGTAGAAGATCAAATTTGACAATTTTAAATTAAAAGTGATTATTAAATGGAATATAGAAGCAAATGGTACTGTTTGACGGATGTCAGAAAATCTATACTATTATTAATTTAACGTTGAGACTAGAATAATTTAACCATGAGCATTTATATGATGAAGCAAATCTCTAACTAAGTGAACATGTAGAAATTGTACTGTATAATATACTCATATAGTATCTTACCTGAATAACATGTGAAACATTAGGTATGTCAAGACCACGAGCAGCAGCATCTGTGCAGACAAGTACCCCACCATTTTCCCGAAATGTGGTGAGATTCGTTGCTCTTTCCTCCAAAGAGGTCTCACTATGGTAAGAAAGGCATTTGATACCAACTCTCTGCAATATTTTAGCTACTGATTCTGCAGCATCAACAGTGTTTGTGAATACCATGGTGCGGTTTACCTCGAGATAAGAATTCACATGGTGATCCTTATGACTACATCTAACAGCATCTAGAAGAGCATCCACCTGTGTGTCATCTGTAACTTCAAACCATCGCTGCTCCAATCTGAGAAAGTTCTAACACGCCAAAGTTTAAGATTAGTTCAAATCTAGAGTTCTACTTCATACATCATATATAATATCAATATATAAGGTTCGCATTATTTGCGAAAGAAAAATCATAGGAGCATCCAACTAAGTGACATAGTCACATCATGTGACCGGTAACTATGACAACAGAACTATACAGTCTACTTAATCAATTTTAAAAAAAAAGAACTGCGATGTTAAGTTAAACCAAAAGAAAGGCATAAAATTAGGAGCAATTGACATATTGCTTTGTGATCTGATTCAGACCAACAATTTACATGGAAGGAAATCTCTCCCCGTACTCCAATTTTGACTGCCATTTATTTTGATACCCAACTACTTACAGAACAAACCTGAAAACGCAGTGTTGTCAACTTGATTTCTTCTTAAAATAACTTTTTCTTAAAACCCAAAATGCCTCTCTAGGCTATGTATTGAAAATTTGATATGCAATTATGCACTTTTCTCTTTATTCTTATTCTTCTCCAACATATCCAGTTGGTAGTGATGTAAAAATGGGTATAGAAACAAATCAGTTCCACATTTAGAGACAGAAAAGCAAAGCTAGCATATCTTAAGAAAGAATACCACAGTCACAGACTCACATACAAACTACAAGACATTTAGACCAGGTATAGCACACTTGGCTCAGGTATAAGTAATATTAGAATGGGCATAACATATTTAATTTAGATACAACACACTTGGACTTGATATAACATATTACACTGTTATAATTTATAAGATATTTGGACTATGTAATGTTTGGAGTAACTATGGTTATTTGAAATAGGTATACGCTATACTACTCAACATGTGATCCGTCTCTGGAAACTATTCCTCAGGCTACTTACTCCACTGAGAGCCTCTAAATGTTATCGATTAAGCAGTAATTTTAGAGACTCATGTTTAACCCTCATTCCTTACAAGGGGCATAATTACTTCTGCCATTTACATATTATGGATGTTTTGGAACCTCACAGTCATTTTGTGACATTACCTCTAACTAGATTAATATGGCATTATCAGAGCAGAACTTTAATTACTAGTAGCAACAAAAGAAAATCTTCTATCGTGTAAAATAAAAAGTGGTTAACTAACAGTGCAACAGCACAAGTGGCATGTATTTTTTAAGGATTCATTGAGTTCGACGAAGTTTGAAAGGTACATGGCACATCAAGGAGTACCAGTGCGGAAGTCATAGAAGAAACAGAATCACTCCCTAAGTCTGAAGCTGCAATAGTACACAAGTGAATCAAGGTGACAGGAGAGGTACATACCTAGGATTATGACGATGGAGATAATTTCCACTGACCCAAATGGCATCTGGAAACATTCGCCTCAATACCCCACCAGCGGTTTTCTTGCCACTCCCAGGAAGGGTGGCAGCAACAAAGATGTATTGCTTACTGCGCTTATAAACTTCTCTAACCCTCCTCCAACCCTTCTTCATGCTAGTTTCACCTTTATTTTCCCCTTTCAGAGCTTCAATGTCATCCCCATTGCCAACATCCTCTCCTTCATCAACTTCGTCTCCTTCGTGATCCCCAACAAGTTGTTGTGTATCATACTCTTCAGATCCCAAATCCACATGAGATTCATTGGTCACATTCAAGGAACTGTACTGTTCAGAATTCTCCATTCTAGATAATAATTTCTCATCGAAACGTAACATATGCATGAGACGGATAATTTGGTTCTGGAAACTTCCACAGAGAAGCATATCTGCCTCATCAAATACCTGCAATGAAACAATATCAATGCACAATGGGCATTGCCCTAAAATTAAATAACAGTAATTGCTGTGAAATTTATAGCAGTCTTACTGTTATAACGGAAAGATAGGAAACACTACTATGCAAATTTGAAAGGTATGATGTTGTGGGAAGATGAGTGAAGTTTCATAATCATTGCATGAGACTTTCATAGTGAGATGTTCAAAAATTATTGCGTCAAAGATATATGCAAGATCATCATCGCCTATAGAGGATGAGAAGTGAGTCAATCCTTACCACAGATTTTACACTTCGTAGAAAATCAGACCGGCGCTTCATTTCCGAATCATATGTAAAGAGGAAATTCAAAAGTGCAGCTGGAGTGGAGACAATAATATCAGGCTGGACAACAGGCCATCCCTGCAGCCAAACATTTCACAATTAAGCAGATTTTTCTAAGAATTAAAAGATCATTACACATCCTGCACTCAGTTGTATGTGATAAATATCCTTATTAGTCAGTGCTCAATGATGGATGTGAGAAAACTTTACCTGTCCCCCACAAACAGCAGCAATCCTTACAAGTGGTCTGCCCGAATCATTGAGTAGACAGTTGGCCATTTGAACGACTTGCTCACACAACATAACGTTAGGGCAAAGAACCAGAGATATTTCGTGTACTCGACGAGTTTCTTTTGAAGCATTAGTCTCCTTACAATGTTCAGGAATGACGGATAATTTATCAATCAGCGGAACAAGATAGCTGTGTGTTTTACCACTACCAGTCTCAGCAGCAATAATCACATCACCGCCTTCAATAATATGTGGAATAGAAGCAGCCTGCAATTAATAAATACCACCAATCATCGTCTCAGGAATTAAATATGAGAAATTTAAACGTTGAAGACAATGCAGGAAATGCTAGGCAATATGGAGTCTGCTTTCAGCTGGAGAGCCATAAGAACAAACAGAAAAAGAAGATCGAACTAACAAACTCCAGAGATGAGACGTTGAGACTCAGTCTGAACTTCTTTGGTATACTTTTATAAAGAGAAAAGCAACTAAAGAGAGTCTACCATAATCCTAGAGGAGTGAAACCACAGATAATTGTGTTGACATCTTCAATTTGATTGGGAATAATGCCACTTAGCAATGTTTTAAAAAGCAGTCTAGGCGTCCGCCTACGCCTAAGCGGTACCTACGCCACCTACCTAGGCCTTGGTCATGAGTTCCTCCGTTGCCCTGCCTCCACCTCCTCCAACATCCTCCAGCCTCCTCCACCAACTATGAACAGCTCTTCCATGTCCTCCGACCTTCAGCAAAACTTCCTCCACCATCACTTAAACAAAATATTAAATTCACCTAGGCCCACCTAGGCACTAGGCGCAGGTCCAGCATCTAGCGTTTCTAAACTATGCCCCTTAAATAGGAGAAATCAGCAAAGCCGATGTTTTAACCAGTTAAGTGAATAAAGGCTCAGTTGGTTGGCTGAAATTGACTTTGTGGCTGCTGATTAGTCAGAGAGAACTCTGTACTTAGACGAATGGAGTATAAAAAAGTATACAGTATTCAGTTTTAAACGCAAATTGACATGAAGCTAGATAGTGGGTTCTTCTATGCAAAATGGATGGACATGACCTTGTGACTCTTCAAGCAGTGTACTCATAGTCCTATAAACGTTACTTGTCGCTAATTTCAGCAAAAACGAAAGCAATTTTTTTAAAGAGAGAGGTTGGATTCATGCAGTAGAAGAGAGAAATCTTCCTCAGCTTGCACTGGGATTCCAATGAGAAGGCAAGTGATCCTTTCACGTCAAAGACAACAAGGAAGATATTATGTGCTCTCCCAAGGGATACAGCATCCGCTGAATTATGTAAAAACATTGATGTTTCTTTTATATCCTGTAGTTTCCCTGGCTCTTGGTTACTTTATTAAATTTCGTGTGGGAGAAATCTGATTAGGTCTGATATTTATTTACCATGACCGTAATCTAAATCCTGGTGTACACTACCTCATATATATCCGAAAAATAGGTAAGAGAGCAATGGGTTCTCTTCTTCATGCAAATGTTTGACTTACTGTTTGAGATCCTGTGGCGGTTAGTGCAACTAATTTGTAGTTGAGTTCACACTTAACGTGCAAAATTTGAAGTTGAGAGATTTTATAGAAATTCAAATTATGGGTAATATATATTTATGCCTACTTCTTTCTTAGTGCCCGACTCATCCCCTCATAAGAAAACAACCGTCCTTATCATAATATTTTTCAGTATGAGTACAGTAATACTGGAAAAGAGTTTAGCTTACTGTATGAATCAGGCATTTCGGAGAGCCTGTGAAAGGAAGTTACAGAAACAAATCACCTATATAGTGAAGTTGCGCTAAGCACTCAAAACTGAGCCGTAAAATATCCCTACTGTTGGGTGACAGCCGCTTTTGTTGAAAATGAAGGTTGAAGAGCTTTCGGTGGGAGGTCAAAAATGGGCGGAGCCGCAGTTGTTGACATGGGGAGCCGCTGCAGCCACATTTGTGGACGAAGAGAGAAAGGGGAGAGAAAGAGCCGAATGATTTGACCAAAGGGGGGATTGATGCCTATAAAGCCCCCTCCCCTCTCTTCCTCTGATTATTCCAATCAATCCATAAGAAGCTTGAGAAATAATTAGAGTCTTAAGCAGAGTTTAGAGAGTGATTAGGATTTGGTGTTTGGACAATTTTGTGAGAGAGATTGAGAGAAAAAGAAATCAAGAGCGATTTGTTGTTTGTGAGATTATTGAGTGATTGTAATCTCTATTTGTACGCTTTCTCTATTAGTGAGATATATCCCCTCCTTGCCCCGTAAACGCGGGCACATTGCCGAACCATGTAAATTTGGTGTCTTGCCTGTTGTGGTACTTGTTTTGGTTTCGTTTGTGATTTTTGGTTACTGATGCGAAACGGGGTAGGGGGCCTATCGGAATCAGCGATTTAATTTGAACAACGCATCGTTTCGTCAAAATTTTATGATCTTCGGCAGGAAATTAACTCAAAACAACTAACGTGACAGATGGATTTTAACAAGATTTGTAATAATAATCATGAACAATTCCAATCTCAATCAATATAATAGCAATATTAATTATCATTTTCGCATGTTCTAAGATCAATATCAAAATTTAGCAGTCACATGTTCAGTACTCTCAACTCACATGTATAATTTGATTGAACTCTGATAAGCAAAGAGGAAGAAGAACTGATATTTCTGAGGGGCTCCGGTAATGGGTAGGTGGTTTTACTTTTGTTTTCGGTGCATTTTCTCAAGGAAAATGATCCTCCTTATATAGGGGCTTAACCCATCATCTCTACCCCTCAGATCCGCCCCCATGAGAGATTTTCTCTCAACCACCCATGATTCACGTTCTCCACCATTCTCTCAACAGAGAAACAGTGGTTGATTTGGTCATCAATGACCAAGTCAAGCTAACATCTCCCACTTGACCAAATTAACCAAGTGACATGCCTCCCACTATCCGTGAGATCGGATATTTCTGCTTACCATTACTCCCACTATCCGTAGAGAGTAACTCTTATTTCATTATTCATGAAATTTTACTTAGACTTATTTATTCCTAAGTCCCATCAAACTTACATGTTTGATAAAAGATTCCGCTGGTATTCCTTTTGTCAAAGGATCAGCAATCATATCTGTAGTAGGGATATAAGTCACTTTGACTTCTCCATTTTCTACAATATCTCGAATATAGTGATACTAGATCTCAATATGTTTTCCTTTGGAGCTATTCGCACCACTATTGATTAAGCTAATTGTTGCTTGATTATCACAATAAATATCAATAGGTTCTTCTAACAAATTGAGATCAAGATCAATCAAAAACCGTCTTATCCAGACAGCATGTGTAGTTGCCATACTGCAAGCTATATATTCAGCTTCTTGCGTATATCTAGCAACACACCCTTGTTTCTTGCTACTCCGAGAAACAGCTCCTCCTCCAAAGATAAATAAGTATCCCGAAGTGGACTTTTCATCATCTTTATCACCTCCGAAATCAGCATCGGAATAACCGAGGAGTTCAAGCGAATCAGCTTGATAAACTAATCTATGAGTCAATGTACATCTGATATACTTCATAATCCTTTTAACAGCTTCCCAATGTACTGGTCCTGGATTACTTTGATATCGACTGACTAGACTCACATTTCTATCTCGAATTATTTGAATTCCAAGAATATATGATGCATCTCCCATGTCTTTCATCTCAAACTTTTCGCTGAGATCTGCCTTGGTTTTATTCAACATTTCTATGTCATTTCCAGCGAGCAATATATCATCCACATATAAGGATAATATAGTAAACTTGCTCCTACTTTTCAAGACATATACACAATTATCTAATTTATTTTGAATAAAACCAAGTTTAGTGACTGCATCATGAAATTTAAGATATCATTGTCTAGAAGACTGTTTTAAACCATATAGAGATTTCATTAATTTGTAAACTTTATGTTCATGTTCTTTCACCTGAAAACCTTCAGGTTGTTGCATATATATTACTTCCTTCAACTCTCCGTTAAGGAATGCAGTTTTAACATCCATTTGGAACAACTCCAAATCAAGATATGTAACAATAGCCAAAATAATTCTAATGGATGCAAATTTAGCTACAGGAGAATACGTCTCCTGAAAATCTATTCCTGCCTTTGGCAACTAACCGTGCTTTGAAAATTTATCAATAGATCCATCAACACGATATTTCTTTTTGAGCACCCATTTGCATCCTATGGTTTTTTTATTTTTTGGTAGATCACATAACTCTCACACCTTATTCTTTTCTATAGAATCAAGTTCTTCTCTCATAGATTCTAGCCATGAAGCTGATTCATGCGAATTCATCGCATCAGAAAAGGTTAAGGGATCTTGTTCTTCTATATTTGTATCTACCGAAAAACATGATGACTCACATGAATACAAATAGTAATCATCCATCCATGAAGGTTGTGTTCTTTGCCTTTTGTTACCTACAACTGGTTGATTAGGTACATTATTTTCCATAGGTATTTCATCATTTTCAAGGTTAGGTTCATTCATAATATCAGAGTCATTAGTGGGAACAACACTGTAATAATCATCATCTATTACAATTAGAGGTTCTATTTCCTCTTGAACTTGTTCCTGTTCCTCTAAATTCTCTAGAAATGTAGCATCTCTGCTTTCAATGACTCCTTTTTCTTTATTATAGAACTTATAACCTTTTGATTTTTCTGAATACCCTATGAATCTACACTTTATTGTTTTAAAATCCAATTTATCTCTAAGTTGACATGGAATGAGAACATGGGCTATAGATCCCCACTTCCTGAGATGACTCAAATTAGGTTTCCTCCCATTCCATAATTCATAAGGTGTAGATACAACTGATTTGGTAGGAATTCTATTTAAAATGTAGTTTGCAGTTAACAATGCTTCTCCCCAAAAGTTTTTAGAGAGACCAGAATGAGACAACATGCACCTAACTACATTTAATAATGTTCTGTTTTTTCTTTCAGCAACATCATTCTATTGTGGCGTATACGGCATTGTCGTATGCCTTTTAATTCCATGCCGAACACAATAACTTTCAAATTCTTTAGAATTATATTCTCCACCTCTATCAGTTCTCAAAATTTTGATTTTCAATCCAAGTTGGTTTTCAACTTCTGTCTTATATCTCTTAAAGCAGTCAAAAGCTTCTAATTTTCTGGATATAAGATAGACGTGTGCAAACTTAGAATAATCATCTATAAAAATAATAAAATATTCTTTATTACTATGAGTTTTGATACTTAGGGGACCACAAATATCCGAGT